TGATCGGGAGATTGGAGTTTTTGAGGTGGCGTGGAACCATCCTCTTCATTGTTGTTATTCCCAGGTCTACACTGAACCCCGGGGGTGGTAGCACCTGTTAGGGTTCCAGTTATGGCCAAATAGTCAACTCACAAACAAAAATCAACGATACATTTAAATAATAAAAATGATCAACAACACATTTTTTTATATATATATATATATATATATATATATATATATATATATATATATATAAGTAAGTCAATGAATTCATGTCTAGATCTCCGAGATGAGATATTATGATTATTTATATTATCCGGACTTATCCTCATCTTCATTGCATTATTCACAACGTTTCGGCCGTTGTACGCTCCGACCTTCTTCAGGTGATTGGAATTTCGAATCGATCTCTTTATTTCGTCAAAGACAGATGGCCCAGTGGATAAAGGTGTTGGTTAGATCCAGAGACCAGACCCAAAGTGTTGTGTGTTCAATACCAGGCTGCAGCAGTGGCGAAACAAAGAGTGTGGAGTTAAACAGAAATTACTGAGACATTCTTAGCCATTCTTTAATGCTTTGGATTTAATGATGGCACATGGAACGAGAACAATCTACCCCAGTGGTCGAAATAAATGGTTCGATTCCAGTCACCTGAAGAAGGACAGAGCGTACAACTGTCGAAACGTTGTGAATATGGCAATGAAGATGAGGATAAAAGTCCGGATAATGTAAATACAATTCATGATCTACAAAATATATATTTAAAGACATACCTTTATTTTGAAAGCATAAAATTGTGTTGAAATATTTAAATTTCGCTCGTTAAAGGTTGATATACCGTCAAACAAAATCAACCAACCACTTAGGCATTAAATTACAATTATCACTTCAGAGAGTATCATTGTTATGTTGGGAGGTCAGAGTCTGTTCATACAATCAGAAAATGGTAAAAGAACAAGGAGGTAAACTATAAAAGCACTCCAGTATTTCGTTAATATTTGCACATTGTTAATTGCCGTGCATATTAGTCGGAATGGATTGAAGTGGTTTACCGTTTCCTCCTGGCCAGTTATAGAGTTCAGTTTCAGAGTTCCCTAAACCCTAGCTATAATAGCTCATTCTGTCCAACTATTTTAAATATAGCTGGATTCGGGCGGTACGATTTGTTTCATGCTCATTAAAATTTGTTGGTTTTGTTTAATGGCATATCAACCTCTATGTGTTATTTAATGCCGAAATCTAAATATTTTGATTTGTTTGGTTGGTTGATTTTGTTTAGCGGCATATCAAACTCTATGGGTTATTTAATGCCGAAATCTAAATATTTTGAAACTTATTTAATGGCTTCAACTAAATATATTTTGAACACAATTGTATTCCGTCAACTACTGATAAAATCTACTGTTGGTCATTTTGCTATATATCCTCAGTAATTTTAGTATGAGTAGGTAACGTTAGTAATTCTTTCTGTATAAAAATCTATTGCTGGTAATTTACTAAAAAATATATTTTTGTACTTTCATAGTATTTTGTTTTTTGTTTGTAGAGTTCATTATTTGCCCGTATCTGGGACTGGGACTGGGACTAACGATACCCCGGTTTAGAATGGACCTGGGAAGAACAGCTATTAAGAGGTGGTTCTACGTTCCCCAAAACCTCCAATCTCCCGATCAGAGTTCTTGCTACCGGATATAGCTTATAATCATACCCAGGACGAGCAATTAAGGAGGTGGTCCCACGCACCTCAAAACCTCTAATTTTCCGATCAGAGACCTTGCCGCAGGATGTTGTTTATCGCCGTGCTCAGGAATAGTTCATTAGGGTAAAGTGAAAGCTAAAGCTTCGACCAAAATTTGAAATTGTGAATTTGTCGATTCCATTGTCAGCACAGATAATCATTACGCCATGAGGTCATTCAGTCACGATAGAGACATCATTAAAAGCAAGTGTGAACTTGCTGTTTTGCTTCTAATGAATATCCATTTTTAATTACGTTTCTTTAACCATTCTTTTATGACTTCAATGAGTTGTGTTTAATCAGTTGTTGCTACCGTGAAATGCGGCGTAACGATTTCATATACAGACAATAGAGTTTAACTTTCATTTAAGAATATCAATGAACCCGAAGTGGATATAGAAATAGTTACAAGTGTAATTGTTGTCTTTACGAAAAAGCCTCATCACTGACATGCCACGATGGCAGGAAGAATAGAGATTAGACGATTGAAAGATTGGGTCATTTATTTTACCTGCCCGAGAAGTTGTAAAAAGAAAGAAGGCTATTACCTCTACTTTCAACATTGATAAGGTGAATAATATATTCTGTAAGTGGGTGGATCTTGCCAGATTTGCATGTATGTTCTCAGTGAATTCAACCATACAAAATCCAGCATGAGTAAAAAGCATCGCCTAGATATTTGTCTTGATAGAGTTCCCCATTAACAGAACTCCAGAGGCGTAAAAACGACAACGAGGTTCGGCTGAAATGTTCATCGGCTGACGAAATGAGTCTTATTTTTTTTTAAAGCTCACCAATCGGTCAACACCCTTCTTCTGTTGGTGTTGTAATTCTTTGATCTGCTTGGTGAAGAAGCTCTCACCCGGTTGGTCAAAAAAAAAAAAAAAAGTCGTCAACAGCAGATACGTTGCCACTATTATACTGGTTTCCAGACAAGTTTACATGTTGAGAACAGATGGTAGTCTCCCAAATCAGAAGAATAGGGAATAGTCATCAAACAGTTCAATATGGTTTCATGCATTTACCAAAGGTATTAGTAGGTAAGTGAATGTAATGAACTCGACTGGAGTTCGAACTTTCTTCAATTCGAGCCGAGTTTTTAGGTTGTTTTATCCCCCTTTTTTATCTTGATTGGGTCAGCCTTTTAATTTCCCCAATGCATAATTTATTTTTCCTTCCCTCACATTTAGTGAGGATATTCACTAACATCCCTACGCGGTCAGATGTGGCAAAAGGCCGAATTTAATGTGGGGTAAACCGAGCCTGTAGGCTTGGGCAAACATTCCCCGTAGACCCCTTATGCACAAAATTGTGGAGCTGTCTACAATCCTTAGACGAGACTGCCCTTCGACAGCCTCGTCTGGGTTCCTCTCTGCCCCGAGCAGAGGGTTTGACAAGCATACTTGAAAGTGAATCCCAAGTGAATTCTCACCTTTGGTGAGTAAGCGTTTTGATTTTTCCTACATGAAGAATGCAGCAGTTACTCTTATTTTTCTGTGAGGTGGACGGTTAGACTATCATTTTATTTTTTAGTTTGAATGTTTCGTTGTATTTATTGCCGTTATTGGGTTCATCTCATTTCATATATTTTAAGCAATGAGAAAAAAGAAAAAAAAATGATATTTGTATATGTTTTCGTAGGTGTTTTCGTAGGATCTCTGCAAATATGAATGGCGAGGGATGAATTCTTGTGGTGATTAAGAAAATTGTAATGAATGAATGGGTCGCTAATCAGATTAGCTTGGTTTAGGATAATCGGTGACGACCAACCTCATCCCACTTTTTCGGACTTGTGCCATACATTTTATCTCTGATGCAATAAATATATAATTTTTAGATTGTTATTGTGTTTTGTATTAATTAAATCTCATTGTTTTATAAGTATCTATAACCGTATTCTTTCCTATTGTAGTTCTGATAGGGTTGGTAGGTAGTGTAATCTATCTCATTTCGTTATGCTTGTAGCGTTTAGTCGTTTATTTCGAAATATTCCAGTTTTCTGTTTCACGTTGAATATGAAATAATTAGGGTGTTGGAGGAGATTGAGAGACACACAGTTCTCTTAACTAGACTCCGAAAATTATGCAGAGTTTTATTTTGATGTTATGGTGAGAATAAAAATTTACGAGATCATTTTTATTAGTAGATTTACTATCGACACCTAAAGTACTGTTCTAATATTCTTGCGGGCGGTTATGCGCTTCCCAACCTGCTGCGGGCGTTTGTAACGTCAGCGTTTGAAATTGGGAATAACACACAGTTTCCTGAAATACCAACAACAAAATGGCGGACTCGGGATGAGAGTCCACGTAAAGAAATGAAAAGAACCAATATATATGAAGAAAATAAATGATAATGTATTAACAAGAAAGGTTACAAGTGACAAAGGAAATGATGTGTTTAACAAAAGAATATAAAAACCGTTTGGGTTCAAATTATGTGAAGTGAGTGAATGTGCGTACATACGTGTGTTGTGTATGTGTGGTTAGTTCATGCGTTTCCAAAAGGAAAGCGCCTTTTCCGCGAGAGATTTACATGTTGACGAATAAGCGGATCAGGTAAGAAGAAAGTACTTCTTAAAATAGAATTTTCCTTTTCTTTTAGATTGATTTGTTTGTTTATTACGGCTTATCGACCTTTTGCAGGTCATTTAAAGCCAGAAAATAGTTTTTGAATTTTATGGATTTTTTTAGCGATAATAATGATTAAGTGGTACCAGTCTTACTAATTAACCCATAGATGGGGGAGAAGAGGTAGATTCATACCTTTCCCAAACTTATTTGCGCGTAAGTGAATTTAACGAACCCGATTGGAATTGGAACTGTTCACTGATTTCCAATTCCGAGCTATTATCTATTACACCACTCAAACATCCAAGCTTAAAGCTCCTGGTATTCACATGCGGTCACCCATTGTGATAGTGACTAGCTTCGGCGTTGCTTGGCTTAGGTGATCATACGAGAACGGGTATTTCAACGTGCTATAGCGGTAAACATTTTTTTTTAAGTAGACCTTAATGTAAGAGCCTTTCTGGCTCCACTCATATCTACATTTATCGCAAAAATATTGATTAGCATGATCGAGGTACTAAAGTGATATCGCTGATTTTTCTCATTATTCGTATCGAACTTTGAATGTTACATCGAAGTTTTACGATAATGCATGGCGTCAATAGGATAAAAAATTCGCATATCTTCAGAGATTTATATAAGATGAAAAAATAAATAAATAAAGTAAACGAAAACAAAAGAAAAAAATGAAGAAAGCAATCAGAATCTGATCAAGAAGGAAGAAATCTAACGAATACAAAGAAGAAGAAACTTGTATTTAGTTGAAGAATTTCATTTTTGACAAAATGGAACCGGCTGGGAACGAGATTGAGGAAAAAGAAAAAAGAGGAAACGTGAAAATAAAGAAAATGGATTTTACATTTAAAAAGTAGGGCACCTCGAGGCGGTGTAATGGTTAGCAAGCTTGTCTCACTAGAACAATTACGACTGAATAGTGAGTTCGATCCTCACTCGGTACCCCACATATTCGGCCTTGTGCCACATCTAAGCTACGCTTGGAAAATCACTAATTTGGGGGCACCTCGAGGCGGTGTAATGGTTAGCAAGCTTGTCTCGCTATAACAATGACGACTGAGTAGTGAGTTCAATCCTTACTGGGTACCCCCTAATTTCGGCCTTGTGCCACATCTAAGCTACGCTTGGAAAATCAGGGCACCTCGGCGTGGTGTAATGGTTAGCAAGCTTGTCTCGTATCGAACTTTGAATGTTACATCGAAGTTTTACGATAATGCATGGCGTCAATAGGATAAAAAATTCGCATATCTTCAGAGATTTATACAAAATGAAAAAAGTAGTTTCAATCCTCACTGGGTGCTCCATACTTCCGGCCTTGTGCCACATCTAAGCAGCGCTTAGAAAATCGCCTGGGCACCTCGGCGTGGTGTAATGATTAGCAAGATTGTCTTGCTAGATCAGTTTTTCAGTTACTACTGAAAAGTGAGTTCGATCCTCAGTGGATGCCCCATACTTTCGGCCTTGTGCCACATCTAAGCTACGCTTGGAAAATCTCTACATTTAAAAAGTAAAAAAATCAAAACAAAAAAAAACAAAACAAGGACTTTCGGAAGGAGAAAATGAATGAATGAAAAAAAGTAAAAGAAAAACTGAAAAATGACCCATGAAATATATTTTAAATAGAAAGATCTAAAAATGGAAATGGAATGAGAAAAAAAAAAACAAAGACATTGGCAAAGCTAGGGATCGGCAGAGAAGGAGAAACTAAGCAATGAATGTAGAAAGGCTTGAGTGGACAAAAATAATTACATTACAACAAAAGAGAAAGTCCATGAAATATTGATTCATTCTTTACGGCTTATCAACCCTTTGCAGGTTATTTAAAGCCAGAAAATGTTTTTATACTTTTTTTTTTTTTTAGATAATAATGATTTTAGCGATACAAATCTTAGTAGCTGGTTTTCATACCTTTTCCGAGGCTATTTGTGCGTAAAGGAATATAAAGAAACCAACAGGAATTGAAACTCGGCTCTCCGATTAACAATTACGTGACAATATCCATTACACCAGCTGCATATCAAGCTTACAACACCCGTTATTCCAAAGTGGTCACCCATCTAGGTACTAACCAGATTCGACGTTGCTTAACTTCAGCTCCCGTACGATAACCGGTGTTTCAACAGGATGTAGCCGTAAGCAAGAAAAAAAAGAAAACAAAGAGTTAAGAATTAAAAATGAAATGAACACGAAAAGGAATGAATATATATATGAGAGAGAGAGAGAGAAATACAGAGAGAGAGAGAGAGAGAAATACAGAGAGAGAGAGAGAGAGAGAGAGAGAAACTAGAAACAAAGTGATAATTAATGGGGAGGGGAGAAGATTGAAAGATGAGTAAACGAGAAAGGAAACACCTGCAATTGTGAAGAAGTTAAAAAAAAGAAGAAGAAAATGAAGAAAGAAATATTTATTTGAATAAAGGAAATAAAAAGAATAAAAATTTAAGCGGGGGATGAAATAATAAACAAAACGCTAGTAAAATTAAAAGATAAAGTAAGGGAAAAAAATGGGAAGAAAGTGAGAGAGAAATAATTCTATGAAAAAAAGAGAAAATTAAATAGGAAAAAAGGGGCGAAAATAGCCGAAGTTTTAAGGTTAGAATTAATTTTCAATTACCGTTCAGTCGAAACCGAGTTAAACTCATGCGTAATATCAGATTCCTTTGAAATAAAAAAAAAAAACTCATGCAATGGGAACTGAATTAATTTATTAATCAAAAACAATACTTTAGTAGTGGAGAAAAGGGAGAGAGAGAGAGAGAGAAAAATAAAAGGAGAAAGAGAGAGAAAAAAGGGAAAGAGAGGAAAAAGGAAAGAGAGAGAAAAGGGGAAAGAGAGAGAAAAGGGGAAAGAGAGAGAAAAGAGGAAAAGAGGAAAGAGAGGAAGAGAGAAAAGGGGAAGAGAGAAAAGGGGAAAGAGAGAGAGAGAAAAGGGGAAAGAGAGAGAGAGGGGAGAGAAGAGAGAAAAGGGGGAAAGAGAGAGAGGGAAAGAGAGAGAGAGAAAAGAGAAAAGGGGAAAGAGAGAGAGAGAGAGAGAGAGAGAAAAGAGAAAAGGGGAAAGAGAGAGAGAGAAAAGGGGAAAAAGAGAGAGAAAAGAGAAAGAGAGAAGAAACATATGAGAGAGAGACACAGAGAGAGAGACACAGAGAGAGAGAGAGAGAGAGAAAGAATACAGAGTATAAAAGTAAGAAAATAAAAATATAGTTAAAAAAGTAAAAAAAAATTCCATGATAGTCACATGATTAAAGAAAATAATAACAAAAAAACCATTGTTAATTTTATCTGCCAGGTGGTGATGCATGATAGCGGCAAAGGAAACATTGGAACCGTATTTGTATGTGTTTTAGGGGCTGGTGGGTAGTTGAACCCGATTTTATAGTAGAACATTGAACCATTTCGCTTCAAGCCGGTGGATTATTCCTTTGCTTCTAAATATCAAATCTTTTGTTCATGTTGCTCTTATTTGCGGGGGTGGGGGGTAATAAAAAGAAAAAAAAAAAAAAAAAAAAGGAAAGTGTTATTCATTATTTTTATTCACCGTTCAGACTTCCTGTTAAAATAGACGATATTTATACTTCATCCGTTTGTTTTTTCTTTTACTGCTATAAATATTTGCCAAACATTTTTGTTTGTATAAGATTCACGCTTAGCACCTTACTTTTGTGATATTATAAAAAGATTGGCAGGTTTTTTTTGTTTTAAAAAAAAAAAAAAAAAAAAAAAAAAAAAACGAAAAAGGAATAAAAAGAAAGACCCCCCCCAAAAAAAACACGAAACACTTTGCACATGGATTTTCCCCTCTAAGAGGTAAACATGAAATTATTTGTGGTTTTTCGAAGTTTTGTTTACAGATATTTCCTATTTTAGACCATTCCGATTGTTTTGCTGTATTTCTTTTCCTGGAACATACATACATATATATATATATATTATATATATATATATATATATATATATATATATATATATATATATATTTTACAAGATTAATCTAGGAATTCTTAAATCCTCTACTAAGTGTTTAAGAAATAGAACGAAAGATAAACATTTCCAAAACGCAAATTATGATCTGGAATGGAAAGTGAAGCAGTGAGGACAGGAACCCTGAATCCAGAAGAATTCAAAATGTGGAATTAATATAAAAAAAAGCAAAACAAACTTCGAATACCTTGCAGTATAGATAAGTTATAAGAAATTCAGGAAAGGAGATAAGGAAATTGAACATTGAATAGGCCGATTTGGGGGTAGTTTCACTTAACACTGCAAATTGTAGTAAAACCAAAAGCATTAACTATCCGTCTATATTTCTGAGATGAGGTATTATGTACACTATTTACATTATTCGGACTATTGTCCTCATCTTTGTCGCCATATTTATTACAACGTTTCGGGCCGTTGTACGCTTATTCTTCAGGTGGTTGAAATGTCGAACTGAATCCTTTATTTCGCTCACTGGGGTAGACTGTTCTAGTTCCAAACGTTTTGTCAGTTATTAATGAGTTAATTTTCTTTTAAAATCCAATTTTCTCCACTGCCTCAAGGACACATGGCACAGTGGATAAAGGCGTTGGTTAGATCCAGTGACAGGACCCAAAGGCAGTTGAGAACTTTGAGAGGGAAATTAAGGGGAGATAACTGACAACTGACATCCAGTAAAATGTTTAAAAATTCAGCGTCTATATAGTGTATATTGCCGTCTGCTGATACAGTTATGATTTGTATTGTAGTCACTGAGCCTGAGCGATGTCTGTCTGTATTACAGTTCTGTCTTAGTTTAATCTCTTGAGACACTGAACATTTTATGTTTCTGCATAGATAGGTGGAAGGCACGGCGGAGTAATAGATAGCGTCTCTGAGAGCTAAGTTCAAATTCCAGTCGAATCCATTACATTCTCTTCTTCTTCTCCCCAGCTATGGGTAAATAGCAGGACAGACCGTGTTCTATAGCCTTGGATGGCAACTGGTCTACTGCATAAAGAAATGGCAACCTACTATGGGGAAAAAAAAATCTGCCTCGTCAGTCAGGTATCGAAAAGTACATGATCGCCGAAGCGTGTATCACGCATGGCACATAACTGAATGGAGACACGATGAAGTAATGGATAGCGGCTCGGATTGAAGAATCGGAGAGCCGAGTTCGAATTCGAGTCAAATCTATTACATTCACTTACGTACTAATACCCTTTGGAAAGGTTTAAATCCTTTTCTTCTACCCTAGCTATGGGTAAATAGCAGGACAGACCGGGTTCTATAGCCTTGAATGGCCACTGGTTTGCTGCAGAAAGAAATGGCAACCTACTGCGGGAAAAAATCTGGCTTGTCAGTCATGTATCGAAAGATACATGATCGCTTAATATTTAATATTCTCTCCTCTCCGTTGTACGCGTATTTAGTTAAATTAAACAGAAACACCAGTTTAGTCCAATGATGTACTGAAAAAAAAAAAAAACTAGTCAGGATGTTTCCCCCAACCCCGCACCTTTTCATTAATTTTCCTAATATTTATATAAATAAAGCATATTTGGGTCTTGTTCTTAACTTGTTCTCCGTTTACACGGATTTCGCCTTTATGATTATTTTAAATAAATGACACCGACGTTTTCAGAAATAAAGTACGGTTAAAATTTACATTTGGGAGACAAAAATCTCGAGATGTCGAGGTGTACGTGTGTAATTCACCTGCTTAATTAGGCTCACATGAGATCAAAATCAGGAATATTTTATTTTTCTCTTTTGAACCGGGCTTGAAATTATCTTGATCAATTGTTCCCAAAGTTCTGGGCAGTTTTTTTTTTTTTTTTTTTTGTTCTTTTACTGTTATTATCATTTCACCTTCTTAATTTCTTTTCTAATTTATCTTTATTCTCTTTTAGGCATTTATTATGCGTAATATTCTTGATTTCTTTTTACTTTATATCTGAAAAACAGGTAGGTAACTTTTATCAGTTTAACATGTTTCACTTTTATTAAAGTGTCATCAAAGAACGCGATGGAAAAAAATGAAGAAAGGATTTCTGGGATTTTTACTTTTGTGTTTTCATTTTGGGGGAGGAGGCACTGTAGAGTAATGGATAGCGGCTCGGGTTGAGAAAACGGAGAGTCGAGTTCGAATTCCTATCAAAATACAAATTCATTCACTTACGTGCTAATACCCTTGGAAAAGGAATGAATCCTCCTCTCCCCGCCACCCATGGATAAATAGCAGTACAGACAGGGTTCTCATGAATAGAAAGAAATGTCAACAGACTGCGGGAAAAAAAAAAATCTGCCTCGTCAGTCATGTATCAAAAGATACATGATCGCTTAAGCGTGTATCACGCATGGCATATAACTGTTTGATTTTCATTGGTTATTCCAGTTTCACTTAAAATAATAATCATCAAGGGGAGACGACATGAGTCCATTCACCGTTTTACGTATTCGAAGCCTACCCGAAAGATCATGTGTGTATATATATATATATATATATATATATCTTTATGCATGTAAGCGTATAATTATTGTTTGTCTATGTGTCATTCAGATAATGTCTGGATCACCATAAAATTAACAGAAAACTTTTTGTATCACAACATCTTCAAATGTAACCGGGGTAATTTTAAAATTATGCTAATATATCAAACAGACAATTATTCTTACCTACAAATACAAGAAAAAAAAAACTTCATAAACAAATTTAAACCAGCACTAAATAGATCATAACCCCACACGCAAAAGCACACCACATGCACACATGATGGCCAAATACAGTGATCAAACCACTCACATGCGGAGCACGAATATATATATATACACATATTGACAAAAGCAGGGCACGCATACAAACTCCATACAACTTAGGAATTATGTGTGTATATATGTACGTATATTTGTGTGTATGTATGTGTGTGTGTGTGTGTGTGTGTATATATACTGATTCCATGTAACTTGGGAAGTATATGTAGGTATGTGTGTATGTAGGTATGCGTGTGTGTATGTACTGATTCTTTGTAATGGGACGGTATGGGTGTGCGTGTGTGTGTGTGTGTGTGTGTACAAATGTATTTACTAATTCCTCATAGGGAGACAGTGTGTATGTATGGAGATGAAATGTACACGTATATACACGCATGCTGACAGAAACACACGAAAATGGAAATAGATCTAAGAAAACACAGGGGTCATTAAAAGATAAGAATGTCGATAACTACTTCATTTTTTGGACCAATCTTAATTGTTTTATAACCCTTCACGCAGAACTTTTCACAGCCAGTTCAAGAAAGACATTTGGGTCACTAACACAAACAAAAGATGTCGTCTTATATCGAGAATATTTAACATCGAAAAACAAAAGAGAAAAAATTAATTATTTTTAATAGTATGTGGAAATCTCCACCCTTTACCTGATGGCGGTCACGAGGCCAGAAACACGTGTAGCAAAATTATGGAATAAAATAAAAGATAATATTTTCTGAAAGAAACATCCACATTACAATTCAAAACGTTTGCGGTTTCTCTCTTTTTCATATACACACTTTTCTCTCGTTGGAACTGCATAACCCCTTCCTTATATAATTTGTGTATTTAGGCAGCAGTCCTTCTTTCATGCACATTTCATTGAATACGACAGACAAGGTGCTTTTATGTTTTTTTTTATACAATTTTTCATGCGATCTAATAATTTTTTTTCAGATAAATTATGTATAGTCGAAGCTGCTCGTGTGGCACCATGCATATCCTGACGATTTGAAAGAAATATTCATAGATATATGATTTGTTTTTTACTGTTTATCAACCATTTGATAATTATTTAAAGCCGAAAAATATTTTGGGTTTTAAGAATAATTCTTTCTTTACATTCAAGCGATCTGGGAGAAAGAAAGAGAAAACGAAGAAGAAAGAAAACATAATACGAAACCAGGTCATAAGCGAGCACACACGGGCACGGCTGACAGATACCAGTTGTCGAAAAATATCAGGTCAAGCACCTGACCTACTTCCGTGTCCACGAAAAATGGAAGTTGTTATCAAATGGTTGAAGAAACAAAGTTTAGGGACAATGAAAAATATTGATAGGTAGCAGGTGGAAAGTGTGTCATTGGAGTGATAGTAGAGGTCTAAGTGGGTGGGGAAGTGTATCTAAGGATATGAAGACAAACCATTAATACGAAAACACAGACAATTTCCAGAATTGGAAAAAGCCACACAAGATGATGTTCGCTGAAAATGTTTTTTTTGAGATAATGAAAA